CAACACCTAGTTTTAACCATAAAGATGGGAGAATAGAAGCTAGTTATTTTGGCTCTTGTTTATTATATTTCTCCCTTCCTTTCTTTTATGTGCCTTTTTTCACTCTTATGTGTATCCATTCAGTCTGAGGACAGATTTAGGCCTCTTGCCACCAATAAATGTTGCTGACAGCCAACATAAGTGGCATTTCTTTTAGTAGTTCTAGCTGTTAATTACATTGCCCTCAGCACAAAATCCAATTTGCACCAAATTTCATACAGTTCTGCTCCAACAGTTACAAAACAGCCAGCACTCAGCATCAGTTCAGCACCATCTACGTTTAAGTGGTTTCAGATCGTTCCTTCCAGCTATAATTTCCATCAGATTTTAATCATAAAGAATGACGGTGCTACACCTGATTTACACCTACTTTCCTATAAATCTTGACAAACCTTCACTTTGCCTGTAGCATCACCCTCCAAGGTGCAACCATTTTCATCAGTGGTTTATCATTCCATTAACTAGCATTACAAACATGTCTGCAGAAATAGCTTTCTGTCCATTCACAAGTGTTCATGTGGGCTAAGAACATAAAAAGCAACAACAAAAAACCATAAAACATCAGAGAAGGCCCAGCAAGAGCCATGACATACATACAGGTTACCCAAAATAGTTAAAGCCGGAAAAGTTGTCATGAACTGGGCATAGCAAAGTGGGAAGAGGAATCTTGCAGATTTTGTCAACCTGCAAGTCCACAGACCATTAGTCTGACACCAATGACTGACAGTTTGTTCATCTAAATACACCCCAGTACATTTGGGCACAGTTCAGTGCACAAGTCTAGCACCATGGCTAAATCAATAGCCCTGGATGCATAACGCCCCCAACGAAAAAAATTCCCTTCCCTCTGGTAAAGTCTGTGTAGGTTTGACTAGATGGTTTTGGATACCCTGGAAATGCTCTCTCTAGGCTTCTGGTACAGGTTCATGTGCTTGTAAAATGGCACTCTCCAAGTTTTTGTAAATTAGACCTTGGGAAACAGGGGAAAGCAAGCCCCCTGAGCCTTATTTGCTAACTGTAACTGCAACATTAGTAGCAGTTTAGTAGCTTTACGCTCAAACCTCACAAAGTAAATATCAACATCTGCCTCAGAAAATACAAGAGTCACATTGCTATTTTTAATGAAGTTAAATGGTTATACACACCCTCGTGCACCAGGAATCATAGCATCAGAGGCTTCAACCACTTAAGTGCCAACTTTCTCCCTCGTGTCTTTCTGAAGACACGCTAAACACACTCTCACTCTAGCATCCACCCAGGCAGCTAAGATAGAGCTTTTACCCTCTGATGCTCATTAGCAAACAGAATGACTGGTTAGTGGCGTTAAATGACTGGAGAATCCTACAGGTGGCAGTAATGCATCGTTCTGGATGTTAGCTGCTGTTAAGCATCAAAGAAGAAGAACTGCACGCTAAGCTACAAGCACAAAATCAGATTGTTATATGCACACAAATTAAAATGCAACAACACCTTTCCACAGACCGACCTGTCTTCCGGAGCAGGCTTGAGACATCTTTATAGACAATTTCAGCTTGTTGAGAATAGTTTCCTTAATATACATCAGAGTTAAAGAGAATATAGTTTGGGATTGCTTTTAATATTACAATATGGCGGTTAATGGGTATACAAAATAGAAAATAGGCCTGGAATGGGAACAAAGAACTGGGGTACAGGGCAGAAGGACAATCAACACCCACCCCCAGGGCAGAAAGCAAGAGTTACTGAGGGTGAGGGGCAGACCATTGCCAATGGACACTACCTTAAAAGGAGATGGGGGTCAGCACCCCTGGCCACTGTACCAGTGTATTTTCATTGTGGGGGTGTTTACTGTAGGAGGAGGAGACCAGAGGTTATAACTG